AGGCTGACGTTCTAACCGCTGAGCCAAACCAGCCAGGGCTGCAAGACCTTTTACCACAGTGTTACAAGTTACGTGATTTTTTTTTTTTGGTGGCAAGATAATGAGATTGCAAGACAGTTGATGAGAAATCAGCGTTGGATTAGCATATAAGGCAAAAAATATTTGATCAAGGAGTTACCCTTTTTCAGAGCACAAAAAAATCCTGCCCGTCCTACATATTACTTTGAACAAAAATAGCAATTATGTTTTCTCAGCAGTTCCTAACAGAGGGCTTTAGAGGTCAGATATAATTTCAGGCTACTTTAGCCAGTATTAGTAGCTACTTAGCTGTGGATAAGTTGAGAAATATGTTACTTGGCTTTGATGATTTATTGCTACCTATCCTCTTTATCTGTGGTCTAGTTCTGCACATCCTTTTCTACCAGGCACTGAGTGCCCTCTTGTCTTCTCCTGTCATCCTTCTGCTCTAAGTTAAGACTCATATAGTCATTTACACCTTAGTATAAATAAATTTCAAGTAGGACTCAAAATCCTTGAGGTACTTTAAAACAATTTTTTAATCCTCACCTGAGGATATTTTTCCATTTATCTTCAGATGGAGTGGAAGGGAGAGAGAGAAAAACATTGATGTGAGAGAGACACATCAATTTGGTTGCCTCCCACATGACCCCGATCAGGGCTGGGGACCAAACCGCAACCAAGGTACATGCCCTTGAGTGGAATTGAACCGGCAATTCTTTGGTCCATGGGCCAACACTCTAACCACTGAGCAAAACCGGCCAGAGCCTTTGAGGTACTTTTAAGATTTGATGGTAATAACAATTATCACCTATGAAGGAGTTAAGGATTATTGTTAATTAGGTGGTCAACTGTTTCTTACACAGGAATATTCTTACCATCTTCATGGAAAGTAACCTTTCAGAAAAGGCTGCTGAATCAGTAGATTAGAAAGACTGCTTCTTCCTTTATTTGACATTAACTATAAATGAAGCCAATCCCCAAGGTTGAGATGATGCTGTGATATCCAATTTTTCTACCCTAGTTTATAGACCACAGGGAATTTTTTTATGTTTTTATATTGACATAACATTTACATACTATAAAATTCACCCTTTTAAAGTGTACAATTCAGTGGTTTTTAGTGTATCCACAGAGTTGTACAACCATCACCACTATCTAATTTTAAAACATTTTCAACACCTCCAAAAGAAGCCCCATATTCGTTAGTAGTCACTTCCCTCTCCCCATCCCTTGGTGACCATTAATCCACTTTCTGTCCTTATGGATTAGTCTATTCTGGACATTTCTTCTTTTTTAAAAAATATGTTTTTATTGATTTTTTAGAGAGAGAGGAAGGGAGAGAGAAATAGAGACTTTGATGTGAGAGAGAAACATCAATCAGCTGCCTCCTGCACGCCCCCTACTGGGGATCGAGCCCGCAACCCAGGCATGTGCCCTGACCAGGAATTAAACCAGGACCTCTCAGTCCATGGGATGACGCTCAAGCCACTGAGCAACACTGGCCAGGCAATTCTGGACATTTCATACAAACGGAATCACACAACACATGACCTTTTGTGTCTGTATTCTTTTATTTACCCTAATGTTTTCCAGGTTCATCCATGTTGTAGCATGTATTAGTCCTTCATTCCTTTTTGTAGCTAAATAATATTTCATTATATAGATATAGTATCCATACATCAATTGATAGACATTTCCACTTTTTGACTAATATGAATAAGTCTGCTATGCATTTTCATATACAAGTTTTTGCATAAATATATATTTTACTCCTATGAGGGAACACTTTATCCCTAAGCATTTTTATGTCCTTATCCTTTATTAAGCTGTCACCTCCCTGAGGGAATTTTTTTATTTTTTCCTGTTAATAGCAGTGCTTGGCACAGTTCCCTGAACCAGGAGGGGCTCAAAAAGTGCTGACGGTGACAGTTCAAAGGGCTTGAATTGCATAGAAATGAAGGCATTCTGCAGGACCCTCAGGACATCTTTGGTCCTGCCAGTTACATTCTTTTTTCCTTTTTTTTTTATCCTCACTTGAGGACATTTTTCCATTTTTTGTTCAGGTAGAATGGGAGGGAGAGAGAGGAACAGAGAGAGAGAGAGAAACATCGACGTGAAAGGGACACATCGAGTGGCTGCCACCCGCACAACCAACCAGGGCCGGGGACAAACTGCAACCGAGGTATGTGCCCTTAGCGGGAACCAAACCCGGGTCTCTCTGGTCCGCAGGCCAACGCTCTAACCGCTGAGCCAAACCGGCCAGGGCCTGCCAGTTACAGGCTCACGGCTGTGCACCAGGACTCTGGCCTCTTCTAGATCAAGCGAAGTCTAGTCGTTCCTCCAGATGTAAAATTCCACTCCCAACAATCTGAGATAAATAAAAAATAAAAAAAATCACCCCTTCTTTGAAGCTTTTCCCAAACCAACTAGATAGGATTAGTCTTTAAGTCTTACGCATTTAACGCTGAATTTGTAGTTTAGCAACGGATTTAGGATCCTTGAACTTGCCTTGTGTTATCTATGTATGTGTTTGCATCTCTCCCACTTGATGATAAGGTTTGCAAAGTCAGGGAATCTGCATTACTCACGGCTCATCAGAGGGCCAGCCTGATGCCGTTGTCATTGGAGTTGTGTATTAATTGCTCGTTAACTGGAGTGTTATATGCAGCCAGATGGCCATGTTGAAGGAGGGGCGTAAAACATGCTAATGAGCCATCACAAGAGCCTGCACAGAATTCCCTTGGTTCCTAAAGCATAAGGTGTGGGCTTCTGTGGTTCTCCTGGGCAGGAGGCCCAGAAATGAATGGATCTTATTGAAATCAGTGATGTGAAGAAGCTGAGTCATTGCACACATTCCTTGTTTTCCTTAGAAAGTATGTTCTGTGCCTGCTCCTGTCTTCATCACTGCCCCCTGCGGACTATTCCCTTCCCGAGCTCAAGTCACCTCCTCTTTCGGGGAGTTTTCAGTGGGCCCCCCAAAGACAACCCTCTGGTTTAAACGCTGTCTTTGTCATGTTTTAGCTGAAGCCTTGAGCAAGTTGTTGATTTTTCCAGACTCCTATTTACTTTTCATTATAAAAGCGGCAGATACTCACTAAAAAAAATAAAATAAAAATTCAAGTATTACAGAAATGCCTCCCCCACGGCCGACCCCAATCATACTTGTCAGAGATGATCTTCATTAACAATTTGATGTGTGTTCGTGGGGACTTAAAGCAAGTATCAGCAGAGCAGCAGCACAAGTAACACTTCATGCTCACTACGCCTCGGGCAAGGTGCTGGTTGCTGACACACCTGGTCCACTCAAACCTCACGACGGCCCTGCGAGGGAGGGGTCTCTGTCTCTGGTTAGTGTTGGGGAAATTGCTCACACACAAACACCAGTAATTTATTTTTGCAAAAATGGGACAATGGACTGTACTGTAATTTGCTTCTTTCATTCTCAACCTAGTGTGAATGCCTCTCCGTAACCGTACATGCAAAACTTTTAACATCTTGAGCATTCAGCTATATGAAGTCATCATATTGAAGCACTCCCTGAAGGATTTTTTATTACAGACAATGCTACAGTGCCACAGTAGACATTTTTTAAACAGATATGTTTGTGCGCTTGCGTATTTCTGGAGGATAAATTTCTATAAGTAGAAACAGAGGTCAGTGTACATATATTGAATCATGCATTATGTTGTACACCTTAAACTAATAGCGTTCTATGTCAATTACCTCTCTATAAAACTGGAAAAAGGAGTCTTAGCTCCAATTTAGCTTAAAAAAACAAAACCCAATAGGTCCAACAGGGCATGTAAATAAAAAATTTTAACACTTCCTACACAAGCTGGATGAACTACACAAGCACATGAACTGTATTTGAATGTCTCTTCGATGTGCTGAAGAAATCTAAATCCAAAGTGAGGATCCGGACACTTGTTTCTCAGAGCTGGTTGTAGATTCTTGGTTCTGCCACTAACAGTTATGAAACTGGGAGCCAAAAGGGAAGTATATCATTAAAGTCTGAGGCCTCGATTTCTTCCCATGCAAATCACTGCGCGGGGAAATAATGGGCAAAGTAGGTTTACGGCTGTGAGTCTGCCAGAGTTTATTCTTGTACTACTGTTTATTAATAATTGTTTTCTTCTCCATACGAACGACTGTAAACCTACTTTTTGCCCACCCTGTATTTCCTGAAGACCCTTTTGCTCTAACATTCCCGGACTGGTGAGTCCTTTAGCTCTCTGCCTTTGTTTTCCGATGTATGAAGAAAGATCGGATTCTTTTGCCTTCCAGGATCAATTAATGCATCAACTAGCTAAGACCGTCCAAACTTAGAACTGTTCAGTAGTTCTCTGTTACTTAGAGAACAAGCAGATCTTTGCTGGGCAGGCCCTAAAAATGCTTTCACTTCTAAAATAGTTACAGGGTCTTTAAAAAAAGCAAGATAATGATGGGCTCCAAGGGACCACTCTGTCTCAGTATTCTATTGTTATCTTTTTCTTTCTTCTCTCCTTTATTGTTTTTTTTCTCTGTGTGTGTTGCATTTTGTCTCAGCATTTGCGGCCGCGGGCATGACCAGTAGCAGGAGGTGTTGGGAAGGCTGACAGGTGTCACATCTCTCGGGAAACCTGCCTTCCTGGAATGAGCGTTGTCAAATGCACGTTCTCTAACAAAGAAGGGTTTGTGTGGACCACGGTGTCGCAGAACACACAGCGCATTCCTAATGACGGAATTACCCATCTCTGAGCCGTTTGGAACGAGTCTGAGATAAGGCCCCGTTTCCACTCTGCTCCGTAGTCATTCTCCCACTCGGCCCACTTCACACCCCTGATGCAACAGCCAGTGAGGGCCTCAGTCATCCCCATGCTGAGATGCAGATGTGGAAATCCAGAGGTGGGCCGACTGGCCTCGCAGCACACAGCGGTGAGTGGCAGAGCCCGACACAGAGCCCGAGTCCTGTCCTCACCCCTGTGGTGGGTCCCAGCAGGCTACTGCCCAGTTATTTTCTGATGGCCCTTTTTAATGGCTGGGCTCCTCTTCAGAGCTCTCTTTGGTTCAGCCTTATCCAGCTCAAAAGGTCCAACGCCTTGGTGTTTTAAGGGGCATGTACAGTCTATAGTATGGAATTTCTCTGAATTTGGGATCCGGCCGATGGTGAGTTTTACTTTCTAAAACACAAGAAAGAAAAGAATTAAATGACTAGAGATTATCCTCGGGATTGTTTGTTCGCAGTCTGTCCCCATTCACACCCTTTGAAACTGGTTTTGAAGAAAATCCTGCGGTGAATTATAACTTCTGGGCAGAGCAAGCCAGGTGACCTGTATCATCAGGTGGAAGGTGGATTTTTATTGTCTAGCATCCACTGCAGGAGCCTTTCGGGCAGGTTCTAAATGGCATCAGTGGTGCCCAGTGAGCCCATTTGTACCAAGAATTAAAAAGCCTCTAGATACTAAAGAATTGAAATGAGACCACCAGCCTGGCCAGTGTGGCTCAGTGGTTGAGCATCGACTCCTGCACCAAGAGGTCGCCGGTTCGATTCCCGGTCAGGGCACATGTCCAGGTTGTGGGACAAATTCCCAGTGGGGGGCATGCAGGAGGCAGCCAATCATTGTTCTCTCTCATCAATGTTTCTATCTCTCTCTCTAAAATCAATAAACAAAATATTTTTCAAAAAAATAAAAGAAATGAGACCATCAGACAGAACCAGCCCCTGACAAAATGGGGAGAAAATGGAAGTCTGATGTGCGTCTCCTGCAAAATCTAGCATCTCCTCCCACTGCGTGTGAAACCCCCGGTTGTCTGCTCACTGTCTGCCATCTCCACCCAGCCCCCCAGGAAGGAGTGTACACCTGCTTGGTTCAGGTACTTCAAACAACAGGGCCCTTGGCTGCCCCGCCTTTGTTCCCCGTCTCCCCTCTTCCAACCTTCTTGTTCCTTCCAGAGGCCAGATCTTTGAATTTTTATTAAGGACTGGTATCCATTTTCATATAAAGAAATAAGTCAGAAATGGGGATGAGAAAGGAGGGGTATTTTTTTGATCACCCGGATAATCATGTTGGTGAGTCCCCCGGATGTCTCAGAAGCTCCGAGTTTTTCCCCCAGAGAAAGGGGGCAGGCAGGTTGAGCACAAGAGAAATACTGCTGTCCCTCTCATGCAGGTGACCCCACACTCCTGCTAAGTGCAGTTGGTGATGCCCAGGCAAAAATCCTTCTCTTGGATCTGCTCCCTGGCCAAACCCTTCTCATGGCTTCTAAGCTGCTGATGCCTGGGTCTCTGGGTCACAGCATGGCTTGGTAACTCTTCACGAAGTTTAGTAGTTTCTATCAAACACTTGGCTGCAGCATGGGTCTTTGGCAGAGGAAATATAGGTACCAGATTATTGGACTGGGCCCCTGAAAGTTACCTTTTTCCCCTCTGCATAAACACCTACCCTAGTCTTCGAAACCCAAGCCCTACATCTCCTCCCGAGACACCTTCCTGGCCGCCCTCAAATAGCCCTCTGTTCAGATCTCAAGGCACACACTGGATCGGAACTAGCAAATAAGATGCCCGATTTACCCACTAATCCGTGAGCTCCTTAAGCTCAGGCTGAGGCCATTTTTGTGGCCCTAGGACCTAGCAGGGTAGATGTTCAACATATAGATGTTCAATAAATGGTCAGTGAGTGAATGAATGAATGAACAAAGGAGTCCTTGCTCTCCCACTAACTAGTTATGTATCTTAGCTAACTCACTCATTCTTACTGGTTTCCCATTTAAATAATAGGGGTAGTACAGTTTGTCTAACCAGCAAGGTTGTTGTGTGATGCAGACGAGGTAAGACACATGTACTCCTAAACTCTCAGAGCTGGAAGAAATTTGAGAGATCATCCTGTGCAGTGGTTTGCAGAATTTTAAGCCAATGAATTGTTTCCTCAAGGAGAGCTGATAGGAAAGCCCAACACATAAAACAAGATTCGTGATACATGCAGATTGCTGTAGTCGAAGTCCCACACTGCCCCCTCCCTTTCCTCGCCTGTCATTTTCAGGGACCAAGAAGCAAAGTTTGAAAAACCAACTCCCTCACTTCAGAGAGAAGAAAGAAGTGTTTCCTGAGGTCATGTGGCTTGCTAGAAATAAAAATGGACAAGGGAAGGAATGGACAATACGGAGATGGTACTAATAGGCAGAACCATGTTTGAGCACTTAATGTGTACAATTCATTGTTGTAAGCACATTAGATATATTATCTCATTTAATTCACCAATAACTAAGATGATCACTATCCCGGATTTTATATTAGAGAAAATTGAGGCAAAAAGTTGGTTCAAGGACATGGGAGGCAAACCCTGAGCCAGTTTGGTTCCAGTGCAAGCTCTTTTTTCTAAAAAATTTTTTTTCTTTATTGATTTCAGAGAGAGAGGAAGGAAGAGGGAGAGAGAGATAGAAACATTGATGAGAGAAAACATCGATTGGCCGCCTCCTGCATGCCCCCCACTGGGGATCGGGCCCACAACCTGGGCATGTGCCCTGACCGGGAATCGAACCAGCGACCTCTTGGTGAATGGGCTGATGCTCAACCACTGAGCCACACCGGCCAGGCCAGTGCAAGCTCTTGATGCCACACGATGCTGTGTCCAAGGTCCTAAACCAGCCGTTCAGTTTCCTAGCCCAGTGCGCTCTCCACAATTACTTTATGTAGAAGAATTTTGAATGGGCCCTAAAATAACCTTCTGTTATGTACACGTATTGTAGGAAGTGTCCTTTACACTTCTTATTCTCTTATTTACACTAATGGCTGAAGATTGAGGAGTCTCATCTTTGTGTTTAGAGTACAGATCAGACTCCATCTAAGACCTTGACCTGTTCCTTCTGGTGTTGACTTGCCCGAGGCAGGGCCGGTCAGAGGGGCTTACCTCCTTGTGGATGGACCGGCTGAGAAACAAGGAGACCTCATCCAGGCTATGGGGCTTCAGGTCATTCACAGACAAAAGGTGATCTCCGTGATCAAATAAGCATCCCAGGCGCGGGGGGCCTTTCCACTCAGCCACACTGCAAGGAGAGACGGCATCCGACACAAACGTGAGCCCTGGGTCCTGCTGGCGGTGCTTGCTGGCAGTTCAGGACACGGATGGGGACACAGACAGGGCCCCTCGTTCTAGTCTAACCCTGTGTCACTACCACTGATTTCCTTAGCTTTGCTGCACCACATCCAAAGTAGTTGAACTTTTTCTGCTTGGAATATTCTTTCCTCTTTCACTGCTCTGGAGCCTGGCCCTTCCTCCGAAGCCTCTACAAAGCCCTCCTACATTCCACTTTCCTGACTTTAGTTCATTGCTCCTCCTCCATCCCGGGCTTCCACTGGACTGTGTGAGCACCTCACTTATTCCGTATATTCAAATAAAGTGAGTGTTTAATTTACCTATTTATGTGGCTGTCTCTTAACCAGAAGTATGGTACCACCTTCAAAACAATTGTTTATAACCCCATAACACCAAGGAAACAAAAGGTGCTCAACAAGTGTTTACTGAAAGTGAGCACATAGTGATTATACAATGAACATCTAATGAACAAGTAAACAAATCAGTGAATGAGGAAGCCCAGCACAGAGAAGTCCACAGTCTTAGTCACGTATTTACTGAGCCTTAGATCGTGGAAACGTGGAAAAATGCAAGACCGTGGTTCCCGCCCCTTATAGAACTTATGAGGCAATTGGTGTGAAGTAGCTACTGTGCAGTCAAGGTCTCTCTTCCCTGGTAAGAATGTAGTCTTCCCTCAAGATGAATGACAAAGTCTTTGCGAGAATTCGAATAAAATAAACAGTGATTATTTCAAGCAAATTCTCTGTCACGGAGTCTGTCTCCGTCCAGAAGGTTTTCAGCTGGCGTCTGGAAGTCTAGACCTGGACATGGCTGTTCCTTTTACTTATTTATTTAAAATTGTTTTTTCTTTATTGATATCAGAGAGAGAAGAAGGGAGAGGGAGAGATGGAAACATCGATGGGCCGCCTCCTGCACGTCCCCCGCCCCGCCCCGGGGATTTGGCCCACAACCTGGGCATGTGCCCTGACTAAGAATCGAACCCGTGACCGCTTGGTGCATGGGTCGATGCTCAACCACTGAGCCACACCGGCCGGGCAACATGGCTTTTCCTTTTAGACCTTAGATTCTTGTGGGCTTCACCAACTTCATTCATTCACAGACACTCATTGCTTAGTGATTGGAAAATGTCCTCAGGCCATACATATTCCATCTCACGTTTCCTCACCTTGAAAAAATTAGAAATCTGCTTCTTCCTGGACTTTTTGGGTCCCCCTATACCCACCCACCTCCCTGCCGACTCTCCCACACAACAGTGCCCTTATCTCTGCCTCCTACAACAGCAATCAAAGACCTCCTACAACAGCAAAAGGACCGTCCAAGCTCTCTGGCCAGTTTTGCTACCTACAACATTTCAAGGTATAAGTGTTGTCTTCACAGCTCCCAACCCAGTTTATAATCGATAACCCTCAACTCTCTGACCTACCATATCCGTCCTGCGGCTTCTGTGAGGGCCAGATAATTGGTGATGTCAAGAGGAGAGAGAAACACATCCAGGCTCTCCACATGGCTTTCGTCGGGGATGTTACTACGAGAAAACATGTGTCAAAGTCAAACCAGGCAACTCTCTCGGCTCTGAATGGCACTTTCAGGGTCAACTCTGGGCTCTTACATATGACGTGGCATTTTCCAGGGAAAGGTCACCCAAAATATTTAGAGAAGAACAGGAATGTAAGTTCCTGAAAAGTGCCCACTGATGCCCTCCTCCACCCCTCTTGGGATGTGGTAGTGGTTGGGACACAGGGAGAGGGAGAAAAATGGACTGAACTGATAGTGTAACTGTCCATAGCAGGTCAGTTCGCACATTTCTCTGCCGGGAATGATGCCACAGAAGAGGACACTGGAAAGACTTGACATTGAGAACAATCTCATCAAATGCCCTCAGTGTTGCTAAACACCTGAATGCCCTCCTAATCTAGAACCAAACCTCTTGGGACTTGCATGCCCATAATTTTAATAGTAAAAGCTGGGTGACATGCACCCCAGATCAGTGTGATCCTGGACCTGAAAGGCTGGCCGAGGGAGAATTTTTTCAAAATATTTGAGAACGCCACCCGCAGCCCAGGGAGCTTTTGCATCCAGCCCTGTCACTCACTGTGCGTGGCCACCACATCAGTGGCAAGAGGACGCTGGTCAGATTCTTGGCTGACTTTGAGATTTTTTTAGGAATTGCTTTAAAATTTGAATTCTGAGTCAAAAAAGGAAGCCTGCCTTGCTGTAAGGGCTCACAGAATTTGAGAAATTAGAACTTTACTTGATTAATATAGACAACTGCACAAGAGTCAGTGAGGACGACCCCCTTCCGTGGTTCGTGGTCTGGGCTTTCGTTTCGGCAGATGAAAAGCAAGGGTCACTTCCCGAGCCTTGTTCTCGTAGGTGAAGACCCCCGATCTGGATCTCTGGAAGGGTCTCGGGCTCCTCTTTGCTATCAGCAGACTCACCGGCTGTTTCTTGGAACAAACTAGAGTATGAGAAGTGAACATAAATCCCTTTTTAGCATGTCTGTGGACAACTTTCACATGTAAGGACGTAACGGCCGTGTGAACATTAACAAGATGTTGATGTATGTCCGACCATCAACATCGCTGTCACAGAGAGAATCGAATCCAACAAACCTTCCACCTAAAAGTGAATGCAGAGCCCTGGCCAGTTTGGTTCAGGGGTAGAGCGTTGGCCCGCGGACCAATGTGTCGCGGGTTCGATTCCGGTCAAGGGCACGTGCCTCAGTTGCAGTTCAGTACCCCCCCCTCCCTGGCCCTGGTCAGTGTCATGCGGGAGGCAACCAGTCGATGTGTAGATAAATAGAAAAATATGCTCAGGTGAGGATTAAAAATAAATAAAAGTGAATAGGGAGTGAGAACAACCCTTTACATTGAGAAGGTTGGGAGACAGATGTAAATGCAAAATAGAAAATCACTTCAATCACTTCCCGGGAGACAGAAAAATGTCCCGGGATGTCGTTAATAGGTTTCTGTGGGTAGAGAAAGGAATTCTCACTTTATCTTGTTTTGAGATTACTAAACAATGTGAAGAATTTGGTCTATGGTAATGCTTTTTTATTAACATTTCAATAGTGATTTTCTGTAACAGGACTAGCTCAAATCAATTTTTAAAATATGGCAGTTTTACTTACCAGGATTTCATAGACATGTAGTGACACTTGAGTCCCTGGGAGACCTGGTCTGGACCACATGGTCCAGTGGATTCGCCGTATTCATTGGAAGCAATGATATTATCCAACTATAGACAAGAGGATACACGTAAGGATGCAGGGCTCCCAAGAAGTCGGGTGTCTTCTGCCCCCACTTCTTCCCCGATGGCTCTGCGCCCTGAACTAGGAAACGCAGCCACCGTGGGGTGGACACTGGTGCCGGTTCTGAGGGACGGATCCGGTAAAACTTCTGGATCTCACACGCGCACAAGCGTTTTATGGGATCACACTGCTATTTATTTTTCTGTTTCATTAGCAGGCACTTAATGACATGAGTTCTTTTTCCCAACCAGCTCTACTGTGAAATCATGTCACCTGGTTGGGTCAAAGACTGATACAAGGCAGAGCTGGCTTCAGGCTACTATGTTCACAGGTGACCCAAGCTGCTTCTGAGGGCTGTAAAGGGTTCTAGGAAATATGGCCCTGGAGAGGCTCTCAACCAGCCCCTCAGATCTGAGACAGTCATCTGGGGCAGAGCGGTGCTCATAACCCACGGGCTTTCTATGGCCAACCTAACAAATTAAGCACCAACCCACAACTGGAAGAGTTCATTGCGGCCAAGCCAGCCTCCCACTACAGCCCTACAAATCATGTTCTAATGCCCATTTCATGCTGTTTCCTTTACCATGATGCCCCTTTTCTCTTCTGCCTAATGAAGTTGTGTCCAGGCTGGTGAGGTCCCATGGTCCCTCCTGACCACTGCCAATCTCTCCCTTCTCTGAACTCCTACTGCACAGTTTTGTACTTAATTTGTAGAAAATGGTCTTTTAGCTTCTACTTCTGCGTATATATCCAAAGAAACCCAAAACACTAATTCAAAAGAATACAGGCACCCCTATGTTCATTGCAGTGTTATTTAAAATAGTCAAGATGGGTAAGCAACGCAGTGCCTATCAATAGACTAGTGGATAAAAAAAGTTGTATATATTGTATACATATATACAATGAGATACTACTTGGCCATAAAAAACAATGAAATCTTACCATTTGCAACAGCATGGATGGACCTAGAGGGTATTTTGCTCAGTGACATAAATCAGACGGAGAAAGACAAATACTATATGAGTCTGCTTATATGTGAAATCTAAAGAATGAAATGAACAAACAAAATAGAAAAGACTCATGGATACAGAGAATATAGACTGATGGTTGCCAAATGGGAGGGCGTTGGGGGCCGTGTGAAAATGGTGAAGGGATTAAGAAGTACAAACTGGTCGTTGCAGAACAGTCACAGGGGTGTGGGTTGCAGCATGAAAAATATGGTCAATGATGTGGTGGGGACTCTGTATGGTGCTAGGTGGGTGCTTGAAATATCAGGGGGACCATTTTGTAAAGTATGTGATTGTCTGGCCATTATGCTGTACACCTGAAACTAATACAAAATAGTGTTGAATGTAAACTGGAATGAAAAACGAAAGGTCTTTTAGCTTAGTTTTATCTGCCTTGCTACCTTTTGCATCCCATTCAACATCCAGCCAATGCCAGGCACACAACTGAGGCTCAGTACAACTGACTGGTTGGTTGGATGTCATAAAAGATTAGTTGCCATTGCGGTGTCCCAGGAGACACTGGCATGAACATATTTTGGTGGAAGAAGGGTCCTGTGGTCAAATGAGCTTGGGAAATGCTGTGTGTAATATCCCACTTGGATATTTACAAAGCATCACTGCATATTAAGTCTCTGAGACTTCTGCAGTTAAGAAACTTGTTTAACTTACTTTAATTAGGTGTTTCTGGAACTTGTGTGATCCCAGAATGCTTCCTTTATGGGAACACGTGTCCCAATCTTGTAGACAACTCCCAGTTTGGAAATTGCTGAATGCCCCCCCTTTCTATAATTTTGTCTTCCTACTTTCCATTTCCATTTTTTTTTTTTTCTATCATCCACCTCAAATATAGCTTCTGGGTTAATAGTACTGGAAGGTCATTCGGGTTTTGCCACTTCCCATCTCAAAAGCCACCACGGCCTCTGTGCTGACTATGTGGCGTTTAAGACTCGTCACGGTCTGGCTCACTTTTTTCTGTCATATCCTCCCGTGTGTCAGTCACTCACTCTAGGTTACAGCCCAGCTGGACTACTTGCTATATGCCTATCACATGGCACTTTTGTCCCTGAAGTCTTCCCTGACTCCAGGGGAGAAACATCTCTGCTTTTCTATTGGTTCCGAACTCTTGGGCCAGGCCTCTTGGGTAGCATTGCCCTGTGACAACTGGTAGCTATGAGCTATGAGGGCAGAACATGTAAGTCCCACGCCTCATGTAGAACCACGACCAGCACACCGAGGGCACTCAGTAGGGGCTTCCACCTGGTCAGCAGACTGGTGGACACCCAAGGACCCGTGCTCATATTACTGTTTCTGCGCATCCTACAGAAAGACTCCCCAAGTCCACATTTTACCTGTCTAGTGAAGTCGTATGTCATTTCCCTGGAACTTTTTCTGGTTTTCTGTTTGGGAGTCAGCTCCCCTGCCTCCCACCCCTCGTGCACACTGGACATTTTATAAACATCTTCCTCAGCACGGGGCCTTTCTATTTTGGATCAGGGTTGGCTCCTGTTCAAGTGTCTCCATTGAGCACATCACCTGTGTCTGATTTGCCGCGTTGGTGTTCGACTGAACCAGCCCAGTCCTCAGGAACAGTGCAGGGGCTCAGAGATATTTGTAGAAGGAATCAATGATTTGTAAATGGAAGAGGTTACCTCTAAAAGAATACTCCGAGGGCTAATATAATGACTCTCTTCTTCTGTATCTTGAGTGAACTCGGGCAAGAAATCATTTGGTAGATGAGCTTGTCTGAGTCCCGGAGAACTTTTTTCTATTAAATGCTGAATAAAGAGATGAAGACAGAATTAATGCTTTTCTTTTTCTTTGCAAGAGACAGAATTAAGCCACATGCGTTCGGGGAAAGCCACCATAGATTAATTGGGTTGAGAAGATCAGGGGGTGTTTCCAAGGTTGCATCCAGCTTCCCACACAACCTTAAGTGGCCTCTTGAGCCTGGGTCACCCCTGGTCATGTGAAAACATAAGCTCATCTTGCAGGCTCTTCTCTACCACTGGGACATGTAACTCGGAACAGGTGGTCCTCTCCGTGGGTGGTACTCGTGTCTAAGATCTGCCCAAGTCCCCCACCCCCATCCCCATCTTTTTTCTAGTCTTCACCTAGTGCCATCTGAGAAGGAAGTTATTAGCCCAGAGTTAAAGCATTGTAATTTCCCTCTTCCTGCTCAATATTTCTCTTTTGTGTTCTATTCACATACTTCTATTATTTTCATAGCAATGCAGTTTGGTAGTGTTGATTGTGTAACAGTATGAATTACAGGCTTCAGGGTGATCTAGGTCCAACCAATTACTGCCTTCCCTCCCCAACAGATACAAGATATTCTACTAAAGTAGCTGCTTTGCAGGAAAATAGTACAATCCAATTATTCCAAGAACAATGCCTTAGAGCAGGGGGTTTTGAAAAGACCCTAAATGTTCTCTAGGAAGTCCTTGAAGGAAGGTGATTTAAAAAACAGATGCATTTAAGTTGTGTCCATTTATCCAGCTCCAAGCTCATGGAGCCAGATGATGCTGAGTTGGGGATGAAGAAGGGATCTAGTTTAATTTCAACGGCAACAACGACAACAGCAGCAGCAACAGCAATAAATCCTAACAAGACACATGGTATTCTTAGCTGAACTGATTGAAAAATCATTGGATTGAAAACATAGTGTGAAAAGGTAAGATGGTCAGTGACATTATCTTTGGGGAGAAGGTACCAGGAGTGAAAAGCAAGAGGTGTTTACTGAAAAGGGTTAGACTTCCCAAACCAGTTTCCTGTCACCTTTCCTACAAACACCAAGTGAGGTTTTGGCTTGGTGAGTGATAAGCCGTAAAAAGCTTTTAAAATAGTTGGAGAGCTTCCAACTAGATAAAAACAGAAGGCTATGCCACATTGAGGTGTGTCAGGTCCCCAGGGAGAAGGGAACATCCATGGTTACATCTCTAAGGGACAAAATAGTATGCATGGGAGAAGAAGAAAACACTCAACCCACTTACTAATAATACCCAGCGCTGGGAAGATCACAAATGCAGGAGAGCTGAGACTGCAATTACAAATCACTTTCAAGGGACAGATGTATTTTTTCTTCCAATGAATTTCATTAGAAATGAAGATGAAATCTCTCTCTCTCTCTCTCTCTCTCTCTCTCTCTCTCTCTCTCTCACACACACACACACACACACACACACACACGGAAGAGCAAGACTGATCAGGGTAAATGAAGAAAATGAATAAAAATCCTGAGTTTGCCTGAGGAGTACAGATGATATGGCAGGAAATCAAGTGGTGTTTTGGCAGTTGTCTTTTGTCAACAGACAGAGATAATCTGTGCAAGGAAGACAAAGGTTACCAGACAGCCTTTTGCTTAGCTGTGTGTGTGTGTGTGTGTGTGTGTGTGTGTGTGAGGGGGGGGTCCCTCTCAACTTGCTCAGGTGTATATATATATATATATTTTTTTTTTTTATCCTCACCCGAGGACATTTTTCCATTTTTTGTTCAGGTAGAGTGGGAGGGAGAGAGAGGAACAGAGAGAGAGAGAGAAACATCAATGTGAAAGGAACACATCGAGTGGCTGCCACCTGCACAACCGACCAGGGCCGGGGACAAACTGCAACCGAGGTACGCGCCCTTAGCGGGAACCGAACCCAGGTCTCTCAGGATCGCAGGCTGACGCTCTAACCGCTGGGCCAAACCGGCCAGGGCGCCCAGGTGTATATTGAGGAGCATCCAAAATGAATGAATCCTTGTAGAGGGGGCAAGGTAAGCAGTAAGGCTCATCTGTGACATGGCCAATAGATACACTGGAGCTAAGAATGGTTCTTATGGTGGGTTAGGTTTGAGGAAGGTGTCAGATCTATTGGAGGGACTCTTTTTTTTTTTTATCCTCACCCGAGGACATTTTTCCATTTTTTGTTCAGATACAACGGGAGGGAGAGAGAGGAAGAGAGAGAGAGAGAAACATTGATGTGAAGGGACACATCGAGTGGCTGCCACCCGCACGACCAACCAGGGCCGGAGACAAACTGCAACTGAGATACGTGCCCTTAGCGGGAACCGAACCAGGGTCTCTCTGTACTGCAAGCCGACGCTCCAACCGCTGAGCCAAACCGGCTGGGGCTGGAGGGACTCTTGAAGCATCAGCTGAGTCCCAGGCACTGCGGCCTGAGCGGGGAGAGGCGAGTGTGCTTACCATGCCCGGAAGAGTATTTCTGGATGCAGGGCAGCCAACAGTCTCCCATGTGCTGGAATAACCGAGGAGAGGACTGGGGTCTGAGGAGGGCCTTTTAACACCCAGTGAGAGTTTCTCCTGCTTAGGAAAAAGGGATCCTGGAATCAGGGCACAATGGATCTCTTGTCTGGAATGAAGCAACAGCCTTGTTCCTGAGCTCCCTGCCTCTTGTCTTTCAACCCCGAATGTTTATACTGCTGGCCAGCATTCTCTCTCTAGGACCTGAGGTGATCTTGTCTCTCTCCTGTTTCCAAATCCTCAAGGGCTGTCCGCATGGCCGCCAGAGATGCCCTCAACCTCCCTCAACGTCTCTTTTCAACCCTCTGCCTCTCTGCGCCCTCCCCTTTGTTCTAATAATTTGCATCAACTTGTAGAAACAGCTTGCTTTCCCTTCCTCCTTGGCTTCAGCTTTTGTTGGAAGCACATAGCAACCTCGAAAATGTGTTACAACAATACCTGGAGACCAAAGTCCCATTGATAAAGGTCTCCCCTCCAAAAGGTCTTGTGTGAATGCGCAAAGGTTCTTAGGAAGTAAACAACAACAACAACAAACCTGAACGTCGTCAGCCCTTACATTAGAGAGACATTATATTAAAAATTCAAGATAAATGAAAGGCATTTTATAGAACCCACCCTAGACTTAGTCATCCCAAAGGTAGCTGTTGTGCACCTCGGATCCCAACAACAGAGAACGCTGTAGTTTCAGCTGCTATTAAAAAAGTGCCAGTTAATTTTCACTCCTCCGACCTCAGTAATGAAAATCTGAAGTGTCTCTATCTTAGCTCCCTTGCAAAACACAAAAGTATTTTTCCCTGTTGTTAATCATAAAAACAAGGACGTACATTTTCTCACTTATTTATTCCTTGTATTACTGCCAGTTGCTAAGGAGGAAGGAAAACAAGCTGCCATTGTCTCCCCATGAAAGGGCTGTGTTCAGGTGCCCTGGCACTAGGGGGGATGGAGAGTCACCTCTGGGTTCCGGTGTGTGGCTCTCGAATCCCGGCAAAATGCTGACATGAAGGAGACCCAGTCTCTAATCTTCTCCCTGTTGATAGGAATAGAGTTCAGCTGGCCTGGAACAGCAAGTGCGCCTTCACCCCGCTGGACCCGGAGAAGGATTCTTTATTAGGGTTGGAGCAGGCAGTGGGAGCAGGTCCCAGGAAAACCAGGGTTTTTTTCTAAGTAGCTTAAATAACCCCCCTGCTCCTTACCTCCTCCACACTCACACACTAGAATTAACTCTCGTGTGAGGAAAGCTCAGAGGAATGGGAGGAAAAGTAGAAAATAAGAGGAGTAATCACAGGGTTCGGAGCTTTGGCTTTGACAGCGATTTCTTTTGTGTTTGAAGGGAGCCCGGTACCTGTCAGCCCCAGTTTTATAGGGCTAGCCAGGTGTGCGCCCCTTGAGCCACGCGTGAGTTTACGAAGCATGTGCTTGAAAAGGTTTATAGAAATCACCTTTTCCTTTCTGTTGATGCTCGGGACAATTTAAAAGAAAGCTTTGGCCTCTGGGCGATCTGAAAGAGATCAAGGCTCTTCCTAAAGTGGTTTAGCATTCCTGCCCACTCTGCACAGCCTCCTCCCCCATCCTTGGTCCCCTGCACAGCCTCCTCCCCATCCTTGGCCCCCTGCACAGCCTCCTCCCCCATCCTTGGCCCCCTGCACAGCCTCCTCCCCCATCCTTGGCCCCCCTGCACAGCTTCCTCCCCATCCTTGGTCCCCCTGCACAGCTTCCTCCCCCATCCTTGGTCCCTGCACAGCTTCCTCCCCCATCCTTGGCCCCCCCTGCACAGCTTCCTCCCCCATCCTTGGCCCCCTGCACAGCTTCCTCCCCCATCCTTGGCCCCCTGCACAGCTTCCTCCCCCATCCTTGGTCCCCTGCACAGCTTCCTCCCCCATCCTTGGCCCCCTGCACAGCTTCCTCCCCCCATCCTTGGTCCCCTGCACAGCCTCCTCCCCCATCCTTGGCCCCTCTGCACAGCTTCCTCCCCCATCCTTGGTCCCCTGCACAGCCTCCTCCCCCATCCTTGGTCCCCTGCACAGCCTCCTCCCCCATCCTTGGCCCCTCTGCACAGCTTCCTCCCCCATCCTTGGTCCCCTGCACAGGCCTCCTCCCCCATCCTTGGTCCCCTGCACAGCCTCCTCCCCCATCCTTGGCCCCTCTGCACAGCTTCTCCCCCATCCATGGTCCCCTGCACAGCCTCCTCCCCCATCCTTGGTCCCCTGCACAGCCGCCTCCCCCATCCTTGGGTCCCCTGCACAGCCTCCTCCCCCATCCTTGGTCCCCTGCACAGCCTCCGCCCCCATCCTTGGCCCCTCTGCCAGCTTCCTCCCCCATCCTTGGTCCCCTGCACAGCCTCCTCCCCCATCCTTGGTCCCCTGCACAGCCTCCTCCCCCATCCTTGGGCCCCCTGCACAGCCTCCTGCCCCCATCCTTGGTTCCCCTGCACAGCCTCCCTCCCCCATCCTTGCCCCTCTGCACAGCTTCCTCCCCCCCCCATCCTTGGTCCCCCTGCACAGCCTCCTCCCCCATCCTTGGTCCCCTCTGCACAGCCTCCTCCTCCCCATCCTTGGTCCCCTGCACAGCTCTCCCCCATCCTTGGTCCCCTGCACAGCCTCCTCCCCCATCCTTGGTCCCCTGCACAGCTTCCTCCCCCATCCTTGGTCCCCTGCACAGCCTCCTCCCCCATCCTTGGTCCCCTGCACAGCCTCCTCCCCCATCCTTGGCCCCTCTGCACAGCTTCCTCCCCCATCCTTGGTCCCCTGCACAGCCTCCTCCCCCATCCTTGGTCCCCTGCACAGCCTCCTCCCCCATCCTTGGTCCCCTGCACAGCCTCCTCCCCCATCCTTGGTCCCCTGCACAGCCTCCTCCCCCATCCTTGGCCCCCTGCACAGCCTCCTCCCCCATCCTTGGTCCCCTCTGCACAGCCTCCTCCCCCATCCTTGGCCCCCTGCACAGCCTCCTCCCCCATCCTTGGCCCCTGCACAGCCTCCTCCCCCATCCTTGGCCCCTCTGCACAGCTTCCTCCCCCATCCTTGGTCCCCTGCACAGCCTCCTCCCCCATCCTTGGTCCCCTGCACAGCTTCCTCCCCCATCCTTGGCCCCTCTGCACAGCTTCCTCCCCCATCCTTGGCCCCCTGCACAGCTTCCTCCCCCATCCTTGGCCCCTCTGCACAGCTTCCTCCCCCATCCTTGGCCCCCCTGCACAGCTTCCTCCCCCCATCCTTGGTCCCCCTGCACAGCTTCCTCCCCCATCCTTGGTCCCCCTGCACAGCTTCCTCCCCCATCCTTGGCCCCTCTGCACAGCTTCCTCCCCCATCCTTGGCCCCCCTGCACAGCTTCCTCCCCCATCCTTGGCCCCCCCTGCACAGCTTCCTCCCCCATCCTTGGCCCCCTGCACAGCTTCCTCCCCCATCCTTGGTCCCCCTGCACAGCTTCCTCCCCCATCCTTGGCCCCCTGCACAGCTTCCTCCCCCATCCTTGGTCCCCTCTGCACAGCTTCCTCCCCCATCCTTGGTCCCCCTGCACAGCTTCCTCCCCCATCCTTGGCCCCTCTGCACAGCTTCCTCCCCTATCCTTGGTCCCCCTGCAAGCACACAATCGTCCAAGAATAATCCACTTGGCATCTTCTTAAAGCTGAGGACTCCTTCAGGGATGATCACAGCCCTCTCACCCCTAATACATGCAGCTTCTACAGATGTTTGCATAGTGGTTTCTTTTACATGGGATGTCTTTGGGGTGATGGTGACTGTTATGGGTTGAATTGTGTCCCCCTCCCAATTCATATATTGAAATCCCAATCCCAGGACCTCAAAATGTGACTTTATTTGGAAACTGGGCCAGGTTGTAGCAGATGTAATTAGTTAAGACGAGGTCAGACTGCCTGGCCGGTGTGGCTCAGTGGATTTTGAGTGTAGTCCCATGGACTGAGAGGTCCTGCTTTGATTCCTGGTCAGGGCACATGCCCAGGCTGCAGGCTCAATCCCCATTAGGGGGCGTGCAGGAGGCAGCCGATTGATGTTTCTATCTCTCACTCCCTTCTTTTCTCTCTAAAAAAATCAATAAAAACATATGAAAAAACAAAAGATGAGGTCATACTGAAGTAGGGCAGAATCCTGATCGTTAGAGAAAGGGGAAACTGAACACGGAGACGTGGACCCAGGGAGGATGCCAGGTAAAGACTAAAGTTACGCTGCCACAGGCCAAGAAAGTACCAGAAGCTGGAGAGAGGCCCAGAACAGGTCTTCCCTGGGGACTTCAGGGTGCATGGTCCCGTGGCACCCTGACTTCAGACTCAGCCTCCAGAACAGTGAAAACAGACATTTCTGTTGTTCTAAGCCTTGCGATGGGACATGGACGCCATGACTTTTCAAGGTATTTTAACACGTAGTGAAGCCTGCCAAGGTTTAAGGTTTCGACCAAGGGTTTCTGTTCTAAGCATGTTTATTGTTTATTGGTTTTAAGTGTTTTGTTTGTTTTGCTCGCAGGAAACACTGTGATCTTACGGCTCACCTGTCATCGCCAATGAGGAAGTATTCTCTGTGAGTGGTTCTGATGGACAGCACCTCCTCTGGGTGGCATTTAAACATCTTCTGCACAGACTGCATTTTTCCATGGCTACTGATGCCAACTTCAACACTGGAATTTCTGGTAGATACAGACATAAAGTATTAAACACAGGTACATACAAAATTAGGAAGAAAATGAATGTTTTGTATTAGGATTCAAATTGAATAAGACTTTAGGTTTGCTTGTTCAATATTTTGAAATGTATCTAATCATTTTAGAAAATAAGTTTAGATCTGGTTCATCAAATACTTTGTTTAGGATGAAACTTAATTTAAAAATTCCTATTTTAGTTGGATTCTTGATTCCGCAAATTATCATGTTTTCTATTTTTTTTTGTACACAATTCCTTAAAGACCAAAAAAAAAGTCTAAATATTTTTTGAAACCTAACTTGGTTTTATGAAATGATAATTTCACCCACTCTCTCTCATCCATAAGTTAGGTGCATCAATGTCTTTTGCAATTAAATGCTTATTCACTAATAATTTACCAACTAGAATATACAGCATGAAATAATTATTTAGCTGTTGTCTACTCAAATGTCCCCCATCTTGGTTTCTTTTCAGCCACAAATATTATAAATGTGAAGCCTTTTCTTCTTTTATTTTTTTTAACTCACATTTTTTAGAGAGGAGGGGAGAGGCTGAGAGAGAGAAGTATTGATGTGAAAGTAAGTATCTGTTGGCTGCGTCCTGGGCACCCTCCCCCCCCCCCACCACCACCACTGGAGATGGAGACTGTAGGCCTGGCGTGTGCCCTGACGGGGAATCCAGACACCAGCCCTTCGACTCCCAACCAACAAACCACACCAGTCAGGTCAGCCCTTGTTTCTTTCAACAATAGTTTAAATTTCCATTTGCATGCAACACATTAGTATTTCCTGTTATAAACTCTTCCTCAATTGGATACATACCCATCGATTTGAATGGACCCTCGTTGATGATGGTCTTTGTAATAGGACAGACTAAAGCCCTTCTCTCCACTCCTTGACAGAACAAAAAACCGCTTTTTCCAAGAGGGCTGAAAAATGAAAACATTCTGCATCTCAGTTAGATCTCAGAGGAAGAGAAAGAATTGAGAAAATGCTCAGGAGGCAGGTGGGAGGCCTGTTAAAATCATGGTGAATACTTACTGCTGAGGAAAAAAGCTGAGGAGGTGGTGATTTAATAAAGTAATCTTGTTTGCAGACTTCATTTTCATAATAATATGTAAATTGTTTGCCTAATAAAAGAAAGTGAACAGAACTCAGTTTGTTCCCTGTGAATTTCTAAAAGGAACAGCTTTAGTTGGAAAACATTGTTTACTTCTGGAAAAGTCTTCCAATTATTCAGTTATGGAAAACACACACACACACACACACACACACACACACACACACACACCCCTATAACAGGCCAGGAAAACAAAGGGCCCAAAGGCCGAGTGCGTGATTCTTATTCACCCACAGCAGAGGACCTTCATTCAGATGATATTTAGAAGTACCTAAGTTCAGCTCACACCTGTCTGCCCCTAAACTCAGCTCACACCTGTCTGCCCCTAAACTCAGCTCACACCTGTCTGCCCCTAAACTCAGCTCACATCTATCTGCCCCTGAACTCAGCTCACACCTGTCTGCACCTGAACTCAGCTCACACCTGTCTGCCCCTAAACTCAGCTCACACCTATCTGCCCCTGAACTCAGCTCACACCTGTCTGCACCTGAACTCAGCTCACACCTGTCTGCCCCTAAACTCAGCTCACACCTATCTGCCCCTGAACTCAGCTCACACCTATCTGCACCTGAACTCAGCTCACACCTGTCTGCACCTGAATTCAGCTCACACCTGTCTGCACCTGAATTCAGCTCACACCTGTCTGCCCCTAAACTCAGCTCACACCTATCTGCACCTGAACTCAGCTCACACCTGTCTGCACCTGAATTTAGCTCACACCTGTTAGTTTCTCTATTTCTGACACACTTGGCTGGCTCTCCAGATGTGAAGCACCCACTGAAGGAGCAGGATAGTTGTGCCTTGCCTGTTGGCTTAGCAAACAAAAGTAGAACCACCTGCTATGGAAAATGAGGTGGCAAAGTGGCTACAGGGGTTTCCAAAATACTAAATGCTTCTTTGTAAGTGTTGGCATTATATGCAGTGTTGATTTTTTTGTTTTCCAAAATGTCTGCAAGAAATAGAAACTGCTTTCACTATTTAGAAAACACAACAAATGTTCAAATAAAAAATAAATTTTCAAAAGAGTTTGGTTTTCCTTTCACATCCAGACAATAGTTCTAGTTTGTTCTTGGTTTTGGAAAAGGCAGCCTTTACTAAAGACTTCGAGCTCTTGGACCTGGCGAGACAGAATCAGGGCTAGGTTAAGACAGCCGATGGGGCCCTTACGCTGCTCTTCGGTAGTTCTTGCCAGCTGTCCTCACCCACTTCTGCAGCGATTCTGCCTGCTTTTCCCAAAGCAGCACCCCCAACACCACCACCAAAGGAAAAGAAAAAAACAAAACAGAAGGAAACACTATAACAAGTTTCAGCTCCTTTAACAGTTGGGTGGCCTTGGGCAAATTCATAGATTAATTTACTGAATTATATGTATAGAGCACGTTGAATCTCTAAACGTGCCTCAGTTTCCTCCTCGGTAGCACTGACCTCACAGATCTGTGGTGAGGACTGAAGGAGTTAACGTGCCTGGCACTGGGCCTGGCACACAGCAGCCTCACTAAAGAGGAGCTATTAATAAAACTGGGGAAACCAGCCTTCATCATTTGCAGAACAAACCGGTCTTCAACCTGCCTATAACAGTCTTCAATCTGCTCTTTGGTGGCGTTAACTTCCGATGGTTCAGTAAATGCCGATACTTTGTGAAAATTTGGTCTTAGAAGTCTTTAATGACATTCTGTAGAATTAGCAGAATCTTAAAATTAGCAAGCTAATTCTAAATTTAATGTGAACATGCTAAGTATCCAGAATAGCAAAAATAATGGCAAAAAGTCAAAGTTAGGATCCTAACAGTATCTGATTTCAAGAACTATTATAAAGCTATCACGTGACCTAAAGATAGACAGATATATCAACAGAAAAAAGTGGATCCCCCAGGAATAAGCCCATGCATATATGGGCAACTGGTTTTTGACAAAGATGCAAAGGCAATGCCTTGAAGAAAGGATAGCCATTTCAATAATTGGCACTGAAACAATTGAATGTCCACCTGTAAACAAAACAAAAGGCAAACAACTTGGATCCACATCCATAGATTCAGTGTTGTCCCTATCAAAACCTCAATGATGGATTTTGCAGAAATGGACAAGTCTATCTTCAAATTCATATAGAATTGCAAGGTACTCTGAAAAGCCAAAACAATTTAGAAAAAGAACAAAATTATAATACTCGCACTTCCTAATTTCAAAACTTACTACAAATGACAGTGACCAAAAGAATATGGTACCAGTGCATAGACTGATGGCACAGTATCAAGAGTCCAGAAATAAATCCATAAATGAGGGGCGCGTTTTCAGTAAGGACACGGAGGCCATTCATGGAGGAAGGACCAGTCCCTTCAAAACATGGTGCTGAAACAACTGGACAGCCACATGCAAAAGAATGAAGTTGGACCCTGCATCACACGATCCACAAACATTAACTTCAAGTGAATCAATGGCCTTACTAAAAGAACTAAAACCATACAACTTGTAGTAGAAAGCATAGGGGTAGATTTTTATGAACTTGGACTTGACAATGGATTCTTAGATATGACATCAAACATGGGCACTGAAAGAAACAACATGTAAATTAGAGTTCAACAAAATGAAAAACTTTTCTGCACCAAAGGACATTGTTAAGAGAGTGAAAAGACAGCCTACAGAATGGGAGAAAATATTTGCAAATTATGTATCTAATGAGAATAATATTCTGGTATCCAGGATATATACAGAACTCTTACAATGCAATAACAAGAAGACAAACAACCCAATTAAAAAATGGGTAAAGGGCTGAAATAGACATTTTCCCAAAAAACATATGTAAATGGCCAATAGACACTTGAAGATTATGTAACACCAGCAGTCACTAGGAAATGCAGCTCAAAACCACAGTGAGAAACCACTTCGTGCCCACAGGAATGCTATACCTCAACAAGTGGAAAATAGACATGTTGGTGAGGACGTGAAGAAATTGAAACCCTCCTACACTGCTGGTAGAATGTGAAAACAATCTTGGTGATTTCTCAAAGTAAAACAGAATTAGCAGAGGATCCCTCAATTCTGATCCTAGGTATATACTGCAAAGCACTGAAAACAGATCTTCAAACAAGTACACGCACATACATGTTCATAGCATTATTCACAACAGCCAAAAGATAGAAACATCCCAAGTGTTCATCAACACGAGTGGATGAACAAACTGTGGTCTATACACACAATGGAATATTATTCTGCCATTAAAAATGAATGGAGTAGCAATACATGCTACACTGTGGATGGATTTAAAAAATATTATGCTTAGTGAAAGAGGCCAGTCACATATCATATGATTTCATTTATACGAAATATCTAGAATAGACAGATCCATAGAGCTAGAATACAGATTGTTGGTTGATGGAGGCTGGGGTCAGGGAGAGTGGAAGGGGGAGAAACTGCTTAATGGGCAAGGGCTTTTACTTTGGAGTGATGGTAATGTTTGGAACTAGCTAGAAGTGATAGCTGTACAACACTGAGAATATACGAAATGCCACTAAACTATTCACTTTGAAATGCTTGCTTTTATGTCTCCTTAATTTTTTTCCTAAAACAAGTTAAAGAGTGATTACACTCTTAAGTAGAGGAATATAGGACCACACAAAATGTTGTCATGAATGCTCACAGCAGCTTTATTTGAAATAGCCCGAACTGGATGCCACCCAGGTGTTCATCTTCAGGTGAATGGACTGACAAATGGTGATTCATTCGTAACACGGAGTACAACTCAGAAATAAAAAGGAATGAAGTCTTGATATATACAACAACAAACTCTTGATATATACAACAAAAAAGTTATTCTGAGTCAAAGAAGCTAGACAACAGGTATGTATAATGTGTGATTCTATTTATATGAAGCTCTATGAACTACGAAGTAATGCATAGAAAGCAGAGCAGTGGTATCTGGGGACGTGTGTGCGTGGAAGGGTGGAAGGGAGGGGAAAGACAACCGTGGGGCTGATGGGTATGTTCACGATCTCATTTTTGGTGATGGTTTTACAGGTATATACCTATGTAAAAATTCATCAAATGATACATTTTAAGCCTGTCAGCCTATTGCATGCCAATTATACCTCAATAATGGTTTTTTAAAAGAATTAAACACATGGGAGAAGGTTGTCTGGGGTGGGGGAGAGAAATATCTATAACAAAAATAGATTAATTAATAAAAAAATTAAACACACGAATCTGAAAAAGAAAGCTAAACATCCTCTTATCATACCCAGCCCATTCTATGCCATTTTCAATAAAAGGATTTTTTCTTCTAAGAATGCCCCTTGGGTACCTGGACTCTTCTGAGGTTTGGGTTCCATGGTGGCTATCTGTCCTCACCTGTCAAAAGGGAGAATCAAGAATTGTTTGTCCCCAAACAACAGTATGCTCTACTGTTTAGTCACTTGATCATCAAGTATCAGGATGGTGCCCATGAATGTGGGCGAGATGGATCATCTGCCTCCTCCCCCACCCCCCGGGCTGGCGTGGCGATGGCCCCAAGGAGCTGCCAAGCAGTGCTCACCAAATGGCAGTGCCGTGGAGGTGTTGCTCGGATGACTGAAGAAGCCGTCTTCTCTGGACTTTGTCTGCTCCGACTTTGACAAGACAGCCCCTGGGAGGAGGCAACACCGAGGAGAACAGATAAGAACAGGGCAAGGGCAGGATGCTCTGGCTCAAATGTAGCTGAGAGAGCATTTCTGGCCCAGAGGAAGCCCAAGATAAGCCCCTTTCCATGCGGGGAATCGCTTTCTCCAGCGGGAACCTAGGGTCGGGGACCAGGGCACACCTCAATCGCCTCAGCCACCCGTGTGGCCTGTTCCCAAGGCTGCCTGCCTCTGGGAACTGAGGCTGACAAGGGGGACTCCTATTCTGGACAGTCCTGCCAGCAATCCCATGACCACTGCGGGGCCCCGAGAGAAGAGAGAAGGGGATCCCGCAGGGTAAAGGACCGCAGGGCAGGGGAGGTCGTTAGAACAGGAATGCATTGAGGGCCAACGTTTTATCTTGAATTAATAAGACCCTCCCAGAAGAAGGAAGCGCGGAACAGGGCGGTGCCAGCGGAATGGGGGGAGGCAAGGGACTTTTGCCATCCGTGGGCACGGTATCATTTTTCCCTCCTGACTTCTCTCTTTCTTCTGCATAAACTCATTCTTTTCTCCTAAGGCATAAATGACTCATAGCAATTCCTTACTCGTATGTATTTATATATTCGTATAGATCTACTTTTTGAAACAGAGACGACAGTCTTCACGTTAAGACTCCAAGTTCTCAAATCTACGTTTGCTGGTTTGTCAGAGCATGTGAAAGCTATTTGAAGACCAGTGGGGTTTCCTGGACCCTGAGCTCACACCTTCCAGGACCAGAGGAAAGTTTTTCTCTATTGACATGTCCCTGTACACTAATGATATGATTATGTGCACAAATAACCGACAAACAACAAGCGGAATAACAAATAAGACCTTTCTGGGTTCTTAAGGCATATGTCGAAGAATCGGTGCCCTTGGCCCTGGGCTGGTGTCAGGGGACACTCAGCTCTGTGCACTGAGCAGGAATGCCTGAGAGAGCCCCGGGCCCCGGAGGCCAGACCCTCCATTCCCTGGAAGAGCAGTTCTGCCAGAGGAATATAATATACCCTCCAAAACATGGACATTAAAAAAAATTTACCCCTGAGATTTTGCATCAAATCCATTAGGTTCTTTCCAATTTTAGAGATTTCACAGGCTGAAGCAGAATTGGGGACCAGTGGTTTTCAGCCCATCACCCTTCCCTCTGCCCGTCCAAGTGGGACTTGGCCACCCCTCCCACGGGGCATTTAGCCAAGTGAGTGCTGGTGATTAGACACCAGGAGAGAGGGCTGTGCAGGAGCTGGTTGCTCGGGGGAGAGATTTGTATGTAGTGTGTTTACAGCAAGCTCTTCACTTACAAAGCCACCAATCAATTCAGATTATAAGTGTGCTTGCATACATCGTTGCTTTAGTGTCTCAGAACTGTCCTATGAGACAGCTCGTTTTACAAATGAAAACCTGCATTTGATAGGAGAGCTAGGTGGGGTGCTAGGTTTCCCGGCGGAGCCCTACGCCACACCACACCGGTGCCCACTCACGGACACTCCCAACTACCTTCTGCCCCTGCACACTGTGGGTGCAGAGAGCACTAAGGAGGACGTTTCCAGCCTTCCAAGGTCTGTGAGGTCTCCACAGCCCGTGTAGGGACCACTCCTCCCTCTTCTCTCCACCCACCATGACATGAGATGGAGAGGCAGTAGCGTGTGGTGGGTTAGAGTGTTCATCTGGAATCTGGGTGTAAATGTCATCTCCATCTGTTACAAGGGATGTCATCTTGGGCACGTTATACCTCCTCTCCATACCCCCATTTTTTCGTCTGTAAAATGAAAATATTCCCACCCTCATAGGATTGCTGTCAGCGTTGCTCGAGATGATCTAGCAAAGGGCATTCGGTATCAGTGCTCAGTAAATGCTACGTGTTAGGTCATTCACAGCTCAGATGTCCTAGGATTCTCTGACTGTTTAATAATGAAAAGCATTTATTGAGTACTTAATACATTCCAGGCACTTCTAGTGAAAACTTGTAGAATAGATTTCATGTATATGTATATAATGGATTTCATATGTATATATAAACTGGATTTCATATATATAACAAATATTTCATATTATCTATATAAGTTCTATATTATATATGTACAATCTAGTGTATATATACATACATATGAAATCCATTATATACATATATATGCAATGTATTATATCAATGCTTTTATGATATAAGCAAACTCATATATATATGAAATCTCATTAGTTTTATATATATGTATATTATATCACATAACAATGCTATAAAGTACACTATTTTTACAGCAATACGATACCCATTTTACAGATGAGGGCACTTACCGGAGAGATTAGCAATTTGATCACATGACGAAAGAGAAGCGAAGTCAGGATTCTAACTTGAGTCTGAACCACTCCGTTCTTCCTCCTAAGAAAGAAGAACTGAGTCAGCTCACAGTTCTGCTTACAGTTGTTGTCATTGCCTCCAAACAAAAAGAGTCTTTCAGGTTTGGCGCTCTGATCGCATGCAGGCAACTCTACCTACTGTTGCTGTTGCCCGACCTGGTCATTGTCAAGTCGCTTCGGATTTGACGAGTGACCTCAGGAGGTCCTGGTTCCCTCTGATGGTGCAGCGCAGGAAGGTCAGGAAGAATGAGCCCACACCAGCAATTCTGCTCAGGTGAGCCTGCAGATCACCACAGCCTTGAGAACCCCAACTAGTCCCGCCAGACAGTACTTACTGGAAGCCAGGAGGTCACTGTGAGTTCTCACCAAAGAGCCCTCTCGCTCCGTGCTCTGATGCCAGGCTGACGAGTCAGGTGCAAGGTCTGAAATACGAACTAACAGGAAGTTCCCAACTTCTGTCTTCGGACAGATTTTACTCTTGCCCCAAATTGAAATGAGCTGGTATCGTAGGGAAGTCCCTGGGCTTTTAATCTTCTTGTGGCTTGGCACAGAATTACAGAACTCCCCTTGGCATTCCAGCTGTCTAGCGGCAACAAAAACAAAAACAAACAAACAAAAAAAAAAGGAAGTAAAGGAAAGATATTTTAACAAAATTCCTGCCAGACTTTGGACCATAGTCACAATGACTGATCGAGAACAGTGGCAGCCCAGCCTTGACCTCCAGCCATGACAACCACTGGAACAAGCCCCTTGCTTCCCAGCCACCCCCACGTTTTCCCAGTGTCCTCCTGGGATGGTAGGAAGGAGTCCTTTGTGCTGTACAAGGAAATAAAAACCTGGCTTCTCTAACACATTTGTCCAGGCCAAGGACCTCCAGGAAGATTTCCTTATTCATACATAATGAAGTTGTCATTAACAGGGTGACAGTAGGAGGGTTCTCCTGCATAGCCACCCAATTGACCTGAAAAAGAAGCAGGCTAATGAATGGCCACTCTTAGGCCTGCTGAGTTACCACCGCAGGGCCTTTGGTATACTTTCATTTATGTTCCATTTTTTTAGGGGGCCTTGGACAGTGTGGCTCAGTTGGTTGGAACATTGTCCTGTATACCAAAGGGTCGCAGGTTTGATTTCTGGTCAGGGCACATACTCAGGTTCAATTTCAATCCCTGGTCAGGGCCGGGGCAGGAGGCAACTGGTCAGTGTTTCTCTCTCACATCTATGTGTGTGTCTCTCTCTCTTCCTCTATTTAAAAAAAAGAAAAATCAATTAAAAATTAATTTTAGGGGGAAAGAGGAAGTGGCTAATCAATTTTATCTCCTTTGATCACCTTTAGAATGCACACAATTTTAATCTTTTTCTTTACTAGTGTAACTGGGTTTGACCAGCTCTACCAAGGTATTCATTGAGTGGCCTTGACTAGTTTAAGTTTTCTCATCTTCAAAATGGGGTGGATAGAGTTGACCTCACAGGATCTTTTTAAAAATTAAGTAAAATTGTACATAGAAAAACATGTAGCACAATATGCATAACCAAGGGACACAGACAACAATGTGGGGAAAGGCAGGAGGGGGGGCGGGAGTTGGGAGGAGGGGGTCAATGGGGGAAAATGAGGAACATCTGTAATACATTCAACAATAAAGATAAGTTTAAAAAAAAAATCATGTAGCACAGTGCTCAATGCATGGTAAGTATGGCATAAAGACTATTTCTCTGTTTTCCCCTTTTGTACTCTATGCAAGGTACAGGTATCGTCGGTTCCTTTATCTAGAAAACAGCTGGATTGCCCTGGCCAGTTTGGCTCAGCGGTTAGAGCGTCGGCCTGCGGTCCGGAGAGACCCGGGTTCGGTTCCCGCTAAGGGCACGTACTTCGGTTGCAGTTTGTCCCTGGCCCTGGTTGGTCGTGCGGGTGGCAGCCACTCGATGTGTCCCTTCACATTGATGTTTCTCTCTCTCTCTCCCTCCCACTCTATCTGTACGAAAAATGGAAAAATATCCTCGGGTGAGGATAAAAAAAAAAAAAAAAAAAAAAAGAAAACAGCTGGATTTCAGACACGCAGATATATTAGATGATCACTCACTCTTTTGCACAGGACAGGTTGTTTTAGGAGAAATGATTTCTTGGAATGTATTTATTTCCTTCTACGTTTCTTCAGATCAGCTTTTGACTGCTCTGGAAATAGTCTTTAGTATTTTTAGGTTTGGTCTTTAACCAGACGTTACCAGTGATTACTCCAAGTAGCTCATGAAAAGCGTGTGCTGATCTCCACTTACCTGGGAGCCAGAATGCCGCCGACGGCCTGTCATCATCAGAATCCAGGAACCGAACCAAAGGTGGGACAGAGAAATCACTTTAACACTGTGTTTCCCTGGAAAGGGTATCTATGAACCAGTAAGACGAACAGATACACTTCCCATCTGTTCGTCCGTCCATCCGTCTATCCGTGTATCCATCCTTCGACCCACCCACCCGTCCATGTGTCCCCTCACCCACACACTTGCTCCCTCAGCCTACCTGTCGTAGGCTTTTTGGTCACATTTTCCTAATAGTTATTACAAAGCTCTTTGAGGACAATAATTTCTGCCATTTCTGGTCTGTCACACATGTGGCAAAGTGGTCTCAGAAGGCCAGA